ATAGTTTTCACATGTTCTCTGCTGAATAAGATTAAATGACCATGGTTTATGGTAGAAATTAATTATGATCAATATAAAGCTAACTGACAACAAAACTAATACATGTGATAAGATATGAATTTTATTAAATTATATAATTAATTGTATTGTATGAAATCTAGTTACTGTTTACTGATATAATTAATGAAGATTAATTAATACCATGAACTGAATAATATTGTTAGTAAATATGAAGCATAGAAAGTTGTTGTTTTTTCTACCTATTGGGTCAATAGTAACATTGATGTTTGTAAAAATTAGGACTCATTTATAAATAAATCAATATAAATATCTCAATGGTTAAGATAATCAGTCAGTTGAAGCTAGACCACCATGGAAAACCTGGAAGCACTGGACGGCCGTTTCGTCCTATTGTAGGAGTCCCACAATATCCACAAAACCCATCTGATATTAATAAATATAAGTGTAATTAATCCTTCCGATTACTGCTTATACTTTTACTACCTCTACCATTATTGGATTTGAATCGACAATTATATCTCTGTGCTAATGGGATATGGTAACTCGAACTGATGTACGTACGTACGAAGTTCTACATTAATGCTGACTGACTTGACTGACTGAATATATTTGTAATATTCCAATAAGTAGAAAAGTTAAATTTTTTTGACGGTTTGTGACTCATTGTAAGCAACTTCTTTAAAGAATAAATAACCAAATCTGATTGTAACAATTGCATTTACACTTGGATAATTTTAACTGATCCGAATGCTCAATTTATTTGAAATTATCAAGTCAAACCTTGGTAATAATATCTATAAGATTTGTTTAGTTTTCATCATATCTTACATGCCAATTATATATAAATTTTAAATAAGACAACTGTACATATCGATTACACGTGTTTACAGAGACTTCTCTGTTGGCGTCATTTGATAATGAAATCTTTCGTTAAATTATTGAAGTACATCTTCTTAAAGAATTGATAGAACTATCTACTTTTTCAATTTTATTTATTTATTCATTTGAACACATAAACATTGGTACAAGGAGGCACCATATAGATATGTGCCACATAAGTCACTCGACTTGTTTGAGGGATGGGATACTGCTCAGGTGCCCAGAACGAAACAGGTGGTTATCTTAGGGGGTCACACTCCAAGCCTTTGAACTAGAGGTCTAATCCATAAGGCAATGAAGGAACGTCATCAGGAGATGCAGTCCCATGGTACACGGTGACCAACGATTAGTTCATACGCCATTTGTTCCTTCAGGATACTGGAGCCCATATGCATCATTGGTTTGGAATCAAGGTTTTCCAATTTCCTCACGTGAACTCTCTGTGTCCACCAACTCCGTTAAAGCACCAGATATTTGCCTTTCGTTCTCTCGATTTCGTAGACAACACCCCCGCAACGAGAACGCAGTGAGTAGGATTTCCCTGTCAGTGGTGGTATGCACGTGGTCATGTGAGAGCATTTCGAGAGCGAGTGCTAACTCTCCCCACTCTCGGCCGTGCCAGGGCATTTGGGGGCTACTATATATCAAATTGTGTACTCTCATTTAACTTATTTTTATATATAAAGCTGAAGTTTATCAAGGGCTCTAAAACTAGAAGAATTAAACATTTCCTTTAGGTAAATACCAGAATTCAATGTATTTGATCTATCTAGTATCTCATTATCCATCTTTCAAATGTAAGATTTATTATTCAACTCAAAATAATGTTACACTCTAACAATGATTGATGAACTTAAAATAAAAAGTCTAACGTGAAAGCCACAATACACTGAGATAAACAGTCTCCTGGTGATTAGTGTAAGTTCGAAATAGAATACCACTTTCCGAGTGTTGGTTAAGTTATAATATTCAGTAAATACATTATTAGTGTAATTTCCTACCAATTGGAAATTTATGTATTTTACTTTAGGTCAAACATTTCTTATTAAGGCTATTAGACACTACTCGACTGTGAGAAAATCTAATAGATTAGGCAATATTCCAATCTGCGACTCAACTAATAAACCACCTCTCCATCAGACAAGTTCTTATTTTGTAACTCGGTTACAACATCGAAACTCAAATCTAGTGAAATAAAAAGGATGAAATGTGTTTACAACTCAGAATGAGGATTTTAGATCTCGAGCTCTCTGTATTGGTTAGTTTATTAGTGAACCTTTCAATGTTTTTCTAGAGAATATTATCAACCCATACTTAGGATTTCTCCATCATCAACTAACAAGTTCTGTTGACCTAGGATTTGATTGATTGTTGTTGTCAGAAAAACAACCTGTTTACAAAATGTTGAGAAGTTCGAAGAGCTCACTTCTTTCTTAACTATGATGATGACAATATCAAAAAATACAGTGAAAGTTTCACAACTAAATCCATCCAAAAGGCAAAACAACTTATCGTGTACAAAGCTAATGTACGGTAACCATAATCTCACACATCGTAGTCCATTGCAAACTACTATTTTTCAATATATTTTCTTTATAAGAATGGTCTCAAGTCTTTGTTTGTTCAATTTTAGTTGTCAATCATAACAATTTAAATATAATTATCCAATATGAATGGTCACTTAGTGTTTGCAATGCATGGTAATGTTAAACATGCAAAAGTCCATTCAATAACTATAGATAATCAAACAATTCCAAGTTTTATCTCACCATAAAAAGTTTAAGACAACAATTACAATATTTATCAACAAATCCAATACACCCAAATCACTTAGATAAATTTGCCACCAACGATTACTTGGACAATGTAACAAACTCATTAACCAACTGTTATAGCCAGTAAAGATTTTTGCATTTATCGATACTTTCCACCTTCAGATACCTTTTTTATATGACAGTAATAATAGTATTGTCTATTTCTTTAATCTCTCTCTCTCTGTGTGTGTGCCATTCTCATTGTATCTGTAATGATAGGCACAATAATAAGTATCACTGTTTTCCTTCAGTATCTTACTGGTTTTTGATGAATTTGTTTTCTTGTTTAACTTGACAACAATAATAGACAACACCCCAATGAGAAAGAAACTAAACTACAATACGAAATTGTTGAGTACATTTCCTTCCCGAATAATCGAAATTCTTATCAGTTTATTGTTAGATATCATTTTTCCTTTGCTCATTCTTTCATCATGTCAAGGTGTAACTAATCAGATATGTTTTAAGCTTAGTAGTGATTATTTTCGTAAGCTTTTCTATGCAGGGACAAATTTTGTTAGCCAGTACATATTTTGTAACAAGAGATTATATTCCTGATTAGTACATGTCTTTCTTTGTTTCTTCCTACAAATTAATATTCTGGGATAACTGATAGAAATCAAGTGGTATGTAATTTAAGTATTAATGATTAAACATTCAAATTTACAGTTCTTATGCTCTAGAATAGATAAAATCTGATCGCTGTGTCACTGGTAAACCCTTTTCGTAAATTCAACTTAATTGTTTCGAAAACCTTTCTGTTCTTCATTTGATATTCTCGCGGCGAGGGTATTGTTTACGAAATTAAGAAGACGAAAAGCGAATATCTGGCGCTTTAACCGAGTTGATGGATATGGAGGATCCACCTAAGGGAGTTGGAAATCCCTGATTCCAAACCAATGATGAACATGTGACACAGGATCGTAAAGCAACAAATGGCGTATAAACCAATTATCGGTCTCCGGCTATCATGGTTCTGCACCTCCTTACATTGCTCTACTGCCTTATGGATCAGACCTTTAGGTCGAAGGCTCCGGATGTGGCCCCTTAAGAAAACCACCTGCTTCGGTTTGGGCACCCGGATAGTATCGCAGCCCTAACACAAATCGAGTGATTTATGTGGCGCATATGGATTCGGTGCTCCTTTGTATCAATGTTTATGTGTTTAAACAAATAAGTAATGAATAAATATTAGTTTTTGTAACTCAGCAATAGATTACAAGTTCTTGTGAATATTTTGTAAAGAATTGAGATACCACCTATCAATTAAGTTGACTAGTGTTTATAAGCCGAGGTTAAATTATTGAGATAGTTACACTTCCAGGTGAAGATCTGAATCCAGAAATGCCGCTGATGTTAAGAACTTGATGAGAAATTAATCTGTTCTAGCTGACGCCAGCAAACTTAACTTTCCAAGCAACATCTCTCGTAAATGCCATTCATGAATTTAAATAAATTTTACATCTTTTGTAAATTCAAAAACAACAAAGTCCAGTGCTCATATTTTGTGACATACTTCATGATCCATACCATATGCTTAAGTAAACAAATAAACAAAGTTGGTTTGTACATTTTAAGGAGCAGATACGACAAAACCAGAAAAGTTAGTCCCAAAACTAGAACTTTAATATCTAACTGTCAATACACATCTACAGGATATGAAAATTGCACCTCAAACGGAGACGATAAATTAAATGACACCGCTAAATAAGTTACACGAAATCCTGATACTATTCACTCCATATCAGTGTCAATTATTTATTTTAACACATAGATATTTGTACAAGGAGGCATCAAATACATATGCGTCACACAGATCTCATTTGATATGTGTGAGGGCTGTGATACTGCCCGTGTGCCCAAACCGAAGCAGTGTCAAACGACAGTAGGTTCTTGCGTATCCAAATTATAGTCCGAACGACTCGGCACGGGATAATATAAAGAGATGTTAAGCAACTGAGGAGTCATATTTTCCCAGAAAAACCCGAAGATTTCGACTTGATACGCTTTTAGTAAGACTCATCAGCCTGAAGTAAGAAATCAATGCAAGACGACTAACGCTTATAATTTTATGCTGCCAAAAGGCATATGAGGCGTATAATAGAAAAAACTGGAATTCCTTAAGTATATACACAGATCCAACCGGAAAAACTTGACAACGCTAGTCTTTACAGACTACAGTTTATAAGACCACATCTGAAACCTCCCGTTTTTACCATTCTCATGTTATTTGGTATTAGCCCAACAATGATCCCTAGCTTCCCCACTTCATTAAATAAAGGCAGATTCTGTAACAGTAAATATATATTAACATAAATTAATCAACTGCACATGCACATAAATGTAATGACTGAGTTTTAAACCCAAATAACAAAAGAAACAATCTGATAACAAGCTGTATACAGCCAATCACTGAAAGATAATAGGTAATAGGAAAAATAGCGTGAATAAGAACCAAGTGTGGTGTTAATAGTTGGTAGATCACAGAAATAGAATCGAAAGATGAAGAATTTCGCAATATTGCTTTTATCATCACAGGATCCAATTAAACACTGTTAAAATAGATCAGAAATATTTTAAAACATCCACCAAAAAATATGTACAATGTGGTCACTTCTAGATACTTTAGCTAATCCAGTTAATGTGTGATGAACACAAAATCAATCAACATAACAAGAGTGAGAGAACATAAAGTCGACTATAAAAATGCTTCACGGAGTTGATTACGAAAGACTAAAGGTAGAAGTGATAAACCAGCTAAAATAATCAGTGTTGAAAATGAAGCTAAAGAAGTAACGCCTAAATCTGTGAGTTCTTGAAGCACAGTTCCTGCTTTAATGAAAACCAATGATAATGGAACTACGCCTATAAAAAAATAGAAAAATAAAAGACAAGAGTAGTGTTACATGAAGTTGAAATAAATACTAGAAAACAAAACTATAGGAATGCTGAAATATCGATGAAGTACTTCATACAAAATATAAGTGAGATCTATTTGCAATTTGGAAAAATCGTACACAAAACAGGTTAAGTTATTCAACTTGTAACTATATGGCCGATTACAGGTTTATTCACTAAATCACTTAAAAACATACTGTGACGATTATCTGGTTTCTCAGTCTCACTATCAAAATCAAAGGTCCAAACTTAATTATTCAGTTATTATTCAGTATATGAACCAATGATAATAATTATACAAATTATATGAGCTTACAAGAAATTTTAGTTATACACCACTAAAGCAGAAAAATATGCAAATCAAATCAGCGAAAATGGGCTTGCCGTGTTGACTCCAAACAGAGATGGTCGGCTGGGGACAACCAGTGATCCCATAGATTTTGATTTTCTTACTTTTTAATAAGATAGTTCAGATCACTTATGAGAGGTCTTTTTAAACACCGGTATAAGTATTGGAATAATTTAATAGCCGCATAAGTTTACCGACATAATAGTGTAAAAAGCTTACCTACAAATGTTCCAAAGAAGAAATGAACCAGTGGGATATCGATTATTGGAGAAGAAATATTCACAAGCCAATTTGGGATGAAAGGACAGATTCGCAAACAGCATATACAAAAAAACATTGCATGTCGATACCGTTGAATCTGAAACATACTAAAAGATGGATGATCCGAACTTACTGTTTGACGACATAATTCAATTTTTTCAGGGATGAAATACATCAGTACTTTGGAACCGATAAAGCCAACGAGAAGATAGCACAGTGACGCCCCAATCGCCGAACACTAAATACAACTTTATCGATAATTTTGTGGTGGCTTACCAAAGCTACAATAATGACAGCGACTGGGAAAGGGAACAGATATCCCAGTAGAACAACACACACGACCGAACCTGGTATCATGAATGACTGAAGGCTATGTTTCAGTTAAGAAACAATTTAGAAAGTTTCATCAGGATACGTAAGTTAAGCAATAATACATCGGCCGTGAAACGAAGCGACTAGAGCCCCAAGAAAGCCACTACGTTGACCGACTGACATTTTGAGCGAAATAGTATCTTAGTACAGTAGAAATGGAAGAAACATCTGACTTAAAAGCAGCATTCGACTCGGTAGACCGCGAGATTCTGTGGCAGTGTCTGTCATTGAAAGGCGTACCCCAGAAGTACATAAACCTTGTAAAAGCTCTTTACTCGAACACTACTAGTCGAGTCAGAGCTTATGGAGAACTGTCATCTACTTTTGCAACCTCAAGTGGTGTCCGTCAAGGATGTCCACTTTCCACATTTTTGTTTAACTTCATCATAGATCTACTGATGGAAATAACTTTCTCGTCGACTGAGTTCTCGGGTATTGATCTCCTTCCAGGAGGTCCACTTATCGACTTAGAATACGTAGATGACATAGTCCTGTTTGGTGAAGACGCTGACAAAATGCAGTCTTCTGATAGCACTAAGTAACAATGCCAGAATGTTTGGAATGCGCTTCTCTCCCTCTAAATGCAAGTTGTTGCTTCATGACTGGTCTGCGTCAACACCTGAACTAAGGATAGGGAGTGAAGTAGTCGAACGCGTTGACAACTTCACTTATTTGGAAGTCTGATCAGACCTAATGGGTTGGTATCGGACGAAATCTCATCACGGATTCGAAAAGCTCGTTTGGCTTTTGCCAACTTACGTCACCTATGGCGAAGGCGAGATATCCGTCTATCAACAAAAAGACGAGTATACTGCGCGGCAGTCCGTTCTCTCTTAATTTACGGCGGTGAAACATGGCCACTAAGAGTAGAAGTTACTCGTAAGCTACCAGTATTTGACCACAGATGCCTCAGAAATATTGCTGGCGTCTGCTGGGATCACCAGGTAAGTAATAGTGAGGTTAGACGCAGGGTATTAGGAAATGATGGTAAATCAGTTGGAGGTTATGAATCTTCACCGACTGGGATGGTTGGGCCACGTGTTACGTGTGCCTGAACACCGATTACCACGACGTGCAATGCTATCCGGTATTGGAGATGGTTGGAAGAAAATTAGAGGCGGCCAAAACAAAACGTGGCATCAGTGCTTGAAGTCACTAACTTCTAGTCTGAGCCATGTTGGTAGATGCAGACTACTTGATTGGGGTCTGCGTGACTTTCTTAACCAATGGTTGGAGACTCTTGGTGACATGGCTCAGAATCGATCACAATGGCGTCGCTGTATACACTCCCTGTCTTCCCTTAAACTAAGAGATTAAAATCGCTTCATATCTTTCTTTCTACGAACCAATTTTTTCTTCTTGTACTATATCTCTATATGCAATCTTTCTCTTATATATTATCACCTTTGACCTAACAACTGCTATGAATCCGGTGTTCATCTTGTTGTGCTAATGCGGTATGGCAACCTGGACCGATGCATATATGTGCCTGGTCCTACATTGTAGCTGACTGACTGACATCTGGTTTGAACAACTAAATTAACCTTACGAAACAGGTGTCCACAACACCAAGTAATGACACATTAGCATGTTTGACAGAAAGGGATCTTCATACTTAACAGCACAAGTGAGGCTCTTTATACACGTTTCGTAATCAGAATGTGATTACATGAGCACAAGCGCTATTCCTAAGTACTTATTCCAAGTTAGCATAAACCCCAACCATCTAAAGTTCAGCATATTTCAAACTCAGAATAAAATACTCAAGGCATTTGTCTAAACCACTGAATTCGAATCGTGGAGTAAACTCGGAAACGATAACTGGTTATTGTCATCTATACGTAATGAGATTACATAATACGGTTATGTGCACGTAATAAGAACGATAAAGATCAAAAAACGGTAAAATAAAACCCCAAGTAATCTGATACCAGCCACAAACCCTGATACTTAGAAACTTAACAATATACACGAGGCAACATCTACACACTTAGTTTTCCAAATATATGGAGTAAATATGATTTCTAGAAACTGGAAACTCGGGTGTTTAACAAGTCAGAATTCAAAGTCTGTTTACTGTTAAGGATGTTTCGAACTTGGACTTCTCTCTCTAGTTAGCGGAGCTGGGAAGCATCTGTTGATGGTTTCGCTGCATTAATGACCGTTCCTGCATTTTTGTTTGATTTCTGCAAAAACAACCTTTATAGTGTCCTGGATTGATTGCACATCACTATGTCTGTTTTTTTTTAATTTCGAAGTTTAATCAAAGGAGGATCAGGACAAGTACTTGTTGTAGAAAACTAATCTGCTAATTCCAAGCAGGGGATGTTATGCTGTGTGATGACTGCAGATGGTAGCATAAAATGTGTACCGACTAACCTGTTGTCTATGAAGAGTAGCAAGCAACAGCGGTGACAGTTGCACGAAATGTTTTGTTCTACAACATCTATCTATATGGAAGCGGTTGCGGAGACGCAGAAAAATGGACTAGAAATGTCTAACGATAAGATAAGGACTTGGTGGGTCACAAAAAGTTTACCTTATGTAATTCACAATTCGCCATTGACTGTCAAGAGTCCACAGACAAGGTTTGAGTAAGATCTAGAACACATCAAGTCATTATTTAATAAGCTATTACTAGCAGCTGTTGTTAGGACCCATAAGACCAATGAAATAGGAAGACAATCTGAAGATGACACTTAACAGAAGCACCTTAGTAACCCTTGCTTGTACTACGGAGACATGCTGCTACGTGATGCGCACAAGCTCTAAGTAACTAAAATATATGTCCGCGTTGATCCGAAACTAGTTATTCGCAACAAAAAACGACCCTAAGAAACAGGAACAAACGGACGCTGACTTCATGGGGATAAACTGATTCTTAAGGGTTTTTACATCGTCTAGGTTTGAATTCGAATGGTTCTCAAATCACTGTGAGTTGCACGAAAAAGTATCAGACAGAAATGCCTGTCTGTCATGCCAATCACGATGGTCTGCTGAATAACAGAACTCACATATTCAGTAGCAGAGAAAATCCTGATGTATTTGAAACCTCAGAATATGACTGACGTCGGGCACATGACAGCAAAATAAAACTGACAAGCTTCTTGCTATTAAGAACTGGCGGATAACCTTACGTGTTAAGGATGTTATCGTTTTCCTGAGAAAAACTTATTAGAACCGATTAGCATCGGCACCACACACAAGTAGAACTAAAAGGATACAATATGAAAACGGTGCTTATCAGAATTAATATTTGCCAGTAATAATTGTCTTGGTATTCTGACAGGACTTGACCAATATTTTTTAACTCGTCAACATTGTGAGGAAATTTAAAGTGTCCTCGATGTTCCCTGGCAGCTAAAGTAAGAGAATAATATGTATTTACTCTGGAATTGAGGGTAACCGACGAGTGATATATACAAGCAATGATGCAAATAAAATAAATGAGAGGCTAACGACAAGAAACGGCCTTAGCCGCTCACTACCAACAGCCTTCATCCCACCCCGCCTTTGTAAAGGTCGACCTCAGGGACAAATGGTAGGAACTGAAACAAATTGCTCATGTGGATCAAGGGGTTTGGAACGAATTTGAAGATGCTTTGGACTAATGGACTTCTTCCTCTGATACAACTTTTGGTCATTGAGAAAATTTCAGCTTCCTCTTGAAACGCTCGTACAAAAATGCTGGGAACATCTCAAATGACAAAGAAATTCAAGTTTTGACTACTAGTTACAAATAAAAGATATATCGACGGTTCACTTTTCAGTGTCACACCTCTGGTTTTTGGGTATCCCCTCTGAGGTTTTTGTTAGAACCGAAGCTGCGTAATTATTCTAGAAGATGTCCGAGTATATTGAAGGTCCTTTAAATCATCATGTGTCTGCCTCTGTGCGGCCTTTGTTCCAAAGAACTAACTGGTGATTTAAAACTTCCCTTTTAAAACTTGGGTTTGAGTCCATGAATCAATCTCATAGTCTTTGGATACAATTCAGAGTATTTTCATTCTTCTGAAGTGAAAGAAACTGTGTTTTTATTATATTGTAGCGTCAGTGAAATGCCGCTGAGCCTTAGCTGAATAATTCAGAAGGCAAGTCACTAATGTCAAACAGCTTGTCGATCCTCTTCAAGGTCAGGGATAACCAGATATATCAATTAACTGCACACTACGGACTTGCCCACGTGGCAGTGGTCACACTGTTTCTTCTACGTATTCTTAACAATAAATTTCGACCAAAACACAATGTTCAGCTTATGCTGTCGTCAAAGTGGGTACGACGAAAGAGCAGTACACGTTGAGCATTAACTGCAACGTGGGACTTCGATGTTAGCCAGAAATTTACACCATTCCCGTCAAGCTCAAGTGGATCCCAGTCATCGACATTGAACACCTACGTTAATGATCTACACTCTAATAAAAACAATATAAATGTTGAAAACTGAGTGAAAAGTTTCCCACCAGGCTAGCTGAAATTGGGCTGTTGGTTTTAAAGGCATTTATGTTACACTTCACACTTGATTTTGAATCATAGATAATCAAGACACTAAGACTTTTCTCGACTTGTGAAACTTGTAGGGTGGAACTATCTAGGTGTTTGGCGAATTTTACAACATATCGTAGACTGTCTACTTCATACTTTGCAGACTTTTTATGGTCGAAACATAGATGTTTAAATTCTAAATTGTCCACGTAAAATTGTTGCGTAGAATACCATGATCAATTTATGCTAAGAGAGTAAGAATAAACAGATCGCTGTTTCGGAAGTAGTCGTCTGCGAAAACGCATTCTGCGCTTGACGGCGACTCGGCAACTCTTCACGTAGTTTCTGACCCTTATCCTTGAGCTGACCTAGTTTCTCAAGCAGATTTAATTATTTAGCTTCCGAAATCATCTATTTTACAGATAGTTTCAAATAAATCGAGTATTAAAGGAATAAAAGCCTTCCAAAGTTTATATACATATATCTTAGACGAAAAATGCGGTTTGGTCCTTCCGACCTCACATTGCCGTACAAGGCGTCAGCGGCAAGTATCCTATAGATTAACCAATCCTAACACTTCGAAGTATTGGGCGATTACAACGAGCATCATGCAGCTTCGTCGAGACTGATAATCACCTGACTGGATACATGACGTACCCCAAGTAGCGGCGTACGTAAAGAGGATTTCGCCTTCTGCTGCAGATTTTCCGTGGTCATCTCTGATGTCTTTATTAGATTTACAGAAAAAAACATCGAGAGTTGTCACGATTATGATACTAAGTATGATCTGTCCAATCGTTGTAACGCAAGTTGGTTAACTATAAAGCATTTTCAGTAGTAAGACTAGTCATTGAAAGCCAGATCAAAAACGGTTTAAGTCCGGGAACACCTTGTGCCGTTTTCTTTATTTTCAAATACAAAATTTACGCGGTAGTCTTTTATCAGGTCTCCAAAGGCTCAAGGTGTCTTGAGTCAAGCTAAAACACTTCTTGACAGTGAAACCTCGACGAATGATTAAACCGAGTTGCAGTGGATAAAGATCAATAAAAAAACTAGACGGTACGAGAATCAAACACTCCTAGGTTTTCGTTGTTTTTTTTATTTCGATTTCCGATTTGTTTAGTAAGGACAGAAGGCCTACGGCCTATGTTATTCCTTTTCTAGTATGATTCTGTAAATACCCAGCCTTCTCTTGAATGGGCAAGCTAAAGATGAGGACACCGCTGCTTCGGATAAAAGGTTTCAAAAATTAATGACTCTGTGTAAATACCTGTGTTCTACAGGTATTTTATTCTCTCTTGGCTTTTCTACACCCCTGCTATGTCTTCTGAGTTGTCTCAATCTTGTAGGAAGAAGGAGAGATATCAAGTCCAAAATAATTTCTTAGTATTATATACATCAAAATCAGATTGTATTATAGCCTGCGGTAGGAAAAGTGAAGAGGCCTAGCTTTCCTAGACGCTCTTTGTATGATAAACCTCGGAGTTTTGGAATCTCTCGGGCAGCTTCCCTCTTTACACTTCCCAAGGTATCCAAGTCATCATTTAAACAGGAGCTTACAGTCTGAACACATTTTAAGTTCCTTTTTCGCACCGAGGTTATGTATACTGTAGTGAACACAATAGTATCTAACCGGGTAAATGTTCTTTTGAAGCCCAAATCGTTCTAAACCTCTCAGCTACAACCTCTTGGCAGTGGACCGTGGTTTTAAGATCATGACGTGCTGTCACGCCGAGGATATGAAGGTAAATAAGCACAGCGTAGGGGAAATAACAGCACCCACAGTCCGGTGCCACCTTGCCTCATTGAAAGACATCGGTTATTTGTTAGATCAGCCAATCACAATTTTAAAGTCAGCTTGAAGTAGGCATGCGTCAGTGTCTCCAGATATTTATCTCCGGATTTTTACATCATTAGAGTGTGGTATTATGGTCTACTATGATATTGGTACTGCTCTAATAATAGACCTAATCCTAAAATTGCAGATTCGTCATGATATAACTGCTTAATCTTTAAGATCTTACGTGTAAGTCACACCATCGACTACACCAACTCACTGTATCGTATCAACTACCAATACATGATGTAGAACAAGGTTAGGCTAGAGAAGGAACAATATATTTAATATGAATAGAAGATATAAGGTAACATTCAGAGGGACCACGCCTGCATGGCCGAGTCATGCCATCCGATCAACTCCAGTCCATTCAATTCACTGTTCCTGCCTTTTCCATCGTTGGGTATTTCTCCGCGTTAAATATTGAATATCTACTTTCCGAGTAGTGTTGTGTTAAGCTTTGAAGATTGTGAAGTCATGGTCCAATGCCACTACACTACTCTCCCACTAGAATCAACGTGATGTTGGTTCGATACCAAATTGGATGGGATCGTCGCGCGCCGGAGGTTACCAAGGATAATAAGGATCCTCCGGGTATTGATAAGCCGAAAGATAAATCTAAAAGACGGCAGCATCTGGTCGGAAAATACATGTAATAATCTTAAAATATCTGCTTTAATGATTAACGCGCTTAAAATGAAATTTGGTTGAAGATTATTTGAACTATAAAAAATGGGATTACAATAATAATAATAAAACGATGCGTGTTAATAGCCGTCGGTTAATAACTTAACGTATAGGTAGTAAGTATTTTGTGTTTAGGAATATTAAAGTAATGAATATTGTAGAAATGTTAATATTGGTATTAGTTTTGGTTTAAATTATGAAATCAAATAACGATTATGCCGGTAAGTTGTCCATATGAGTTGAATTCCAATTGCATCTGTATTAGTAAGCTAACTGAAGGAACAAAAGTATTACCGCGGAGAAGAATTCCAACTAGTGTTCCAGTTAGTTTGATACGGTTTATTTAGTTACGGGGGGGTGGGGTTTCTCAACCTCATTTTTACTTGACCGTGATAGAATTTAGTGATATCACTAATACACATGAATGGTTATCAAAACAAAATTTAAATACGTCTTCAGTCTTCAGTAATAAGGATAGTAGGTTGATGAACCTGTGTTAATCCTGACACATTGCTTTCCAGTGAAGGTCCAGCTTTTCCTTGAAAGTATTCACTGATGGGGCTGATACCACTTGTTCGGGTAAGGCATTCCAATGATTGACTACTCGATGAGAAAAACGGGATCCCACTTTAAGTTTATTAGATCGTGGTTTATGAACCTTCTTGCTATGACCTCGGAGATTATTAGTGCTGGAGGGAGCAAAAAGATAAGACATATTAACACCCAAATCATAATTGAAGATACGAAATGCCAGTATAAGGTCACCTCGTGTCCTACGATACGATAAGGGGAAAAGATTTAGGCGTTTTAAGCGCTCATCGTAGGGGAGTCTAGAAAGACCCTTCACTAATTTCGTTCCCACACGCTGGACACGCTCAAGGGAGTTAGTATCCTTTACTAGACACGGGCTAGCTGCTTGGATACAGTACTCTAAATGTGGTCTAACATATATGGGATATAAAATTCGAAACGTTTCCTCGTCAAAAGATTTGAAAGCTCGGCGAAGTGACCATAACGCACGAAAACCTTTGACAGCGGCTGCTTTGCAATGCGCAGTTGTTTTTAAGTCATGACTTAATATTACTCCTAAGTCCTTATGCTCTTGAACGCATGGAAGAGGTTTACCCTCAATAGTGTAACGGTAACTATTACCGTGACCGACGTGCATTAGTACACTCTTCCTAGCATTGATTTCTAAGCCCCACTCTCGAGCCCATCTAACTAAATCGTCTAAGTCAGCTTGAAGATCCACATGATCAGCCGCACATTTTATTGTTCTCCAGATTTTTACATCATCTGCAAACAATAATGTCGACGACCTAAGTAACAGTGGTAATTTTGGACAGATAGCTAGGAACAAATCGTTAAACATGAGTGTATTCGTAAGGGACATGCTCTAGACTCAATGTTCTGATCTGCGACAGACTATTTATTTATATTTATACTTGCTGGCTGATTGGGCATACAAGTTAGTTGCAAGTATGCAGTTTATCATAAGGCGGAATGCGATTTAGTTGAGATATAGT